TGCCCGCGTGGAGCGGGGCCTGGAAAGCGGCCCAGGCGCCGCTCAACTCCAGCGGCCGGGGCCTCAGTGAACGCGGCGAGCGGCGGCCGGCCAGCCTGCAGAAGCCGAGCGCCCTCCCACCGAACCCCCGACGGCGTGGTCCGCGCGGAAGGGAGCAGCGCCCGCGGACCCGCTGGGATTCGCAGCAAGGAAGTGGATGCGTGAGCGCGAGCCAATTTGAGACACTCTCCCCCCACCTTTTTTTTTTTGGAGAAAAAAAGAAAGTAACCCTCATCAAGAAAAATAAAAGAAAAAAAACAACTCCCCGCCCTTCTCTGTTTTTTTTTTTTTTGTTCAGGTTCCCTTGCTTGATTCGCTAAAGGGGGGCTTCGCACTGGGCGAGTCGGAGCCGCGCGGCGACCAGAAGGGGTGCGGGAGAGAGACTTTGGGAAAGCGAGAGGGAAGCAGAGGGAGAAGGGGGCCTCTGGGAGGCCCAGCGCGGACCAGCTGGGAGACAAGCATACCCCGCGGGCCGCCCCCACCACGGGACCCGCAGAGTCCGCGGCGGCCCCGCTGCTTTGTAATTTACAAAAGGGACTCGGAATTGCACTTTGTAATTTGGCGTCGGTTTACAAGCCTCACCTAATAGGCCCTCAGTCACGGCCTGACCCCTTCTAGGAGAGGGACAGGAGAAAGGAGCCGGATTCTCTGCGCCCTCGCCTTTCAGTCCAGCTGGTGAGGCACGCGGCCGCCGGGCCTTCCCGGAACTGCGCGCGCTGCCGCCTCCGGAATTAACGAACGTTCATTGAGCTCCTACGGTGTGAAGACTCTCTATCCGCATTATCACTGAGTCTTCACAAGGACCGGGCCAAGGAAGGCCACCCTTCCCATTTTACAGATGAGGCAACTGAGGCGCAGAAAAATAATTGACCAAGGTCAGGGAGTCAGGGCAACAACCAGCCTCGAGCCCAGGCTCTCTGACTCCTGTTGCCTCAGAATACTTAATTTACTGACCAGTTTGTGCAACCTTAGATTCCTTTTTTATTTTCCCAGAAAAATGCAGATAATTTCGCATTTAATATCGGAGTTCCTCAGACTTCCTGAAGCTCATCTTGTGATAAAAACCTTCCTTCCCCCACCCCCTTCCCACACCACCTCACCTCGCAGCAGTTGGTGGGATCGTGCTTCTCTGGGGGCGTTCAGGGCCGGGGAATGGAGTGTAATTCAACTGGATCACGATTACAGCTGCAGCCTCCAAGTGCGGCAGATGGGGTGCAGGGAGGGTAGGACAGGCGGGAAGGAGGAGCACGTGAAGATGGGCAGGGAAGTCTGGAGGAAGCAGTGGGGCTGTTGTGTAGGTGTTTGCTAGGAGTGGGGGGAGAATGCCGGGGAGGGAACGGTTCCCAGCCCACCCACCCGGAACCGAGGGCCCAGTCCCTCCCGGCAGCCCTCGGACGCTGCTTTCTCCACACTGTGCCAAATGCTGCATCGGAGAAGGCCCACCGGGCTCTGACCCCCGTTCTGAGGGCCCTGCTGCCGGGAGCCGGCCCCACCGTCCTCGTGTGCTCCCTCCCACCCCACCCCTCTCTTCCGACCTGGCTTCAGCCTGCAGGGCTTACTGTACACAAATCTCACTTGTTTCCTCTTTATACAGCAGCTTTTACAACTCGAACAAGTTCCAGGGCTGCCCATCTGGATTATTTTCTGTTTAGGAAACAGCTGCTCACTTCTCTTTTCCCTCCTGTTCCCTTCCGGTCTCCCTTCCTCCCAATCTGGCTACCCCAAATTAGCAAACCTACTTTCTTGATTTTGTTTCTTAATATTCAAAATAACTGGTGAAGGACTACTGATTTCATGTCCTCCCCCACCCCCCCACCCCCTCCAAAAGCAATAAATAAAATAAAATAGCCCAGCCTGCCAACCGCGTGCACACAGGTTACGGTGGTGAGGGTTTGTAGATTGCTTGCACGTCGCGGAGACTGTTTGCAAAGGCAGAAAGGTAGCTAGCAGGGGGAGACGAAGAAAAACCCAGAATGAGTTGATAAAAACCTGCCGTGTCCTGTTACAGGAGGGCTGCTTGGTAACGCCAGGTACTAAAATTAGAAGGGGTGAGGGGGAATAAAATAAAAAACGCGAACCCAGTATGAGTCTTTCTGGCTGGGAGGGAAGGGCTCCACTGTTTCTGCGACTTCAGAGCAGAGGCCGACCTAGGACCAAGGTGCTCACCAGTCCATTGCCCTCCCCTCGGTTCCGTCATTGGAAAAATGAGGGAAAAGAACGCATTTCTGCTGCGGTCGAGAAGCCAAACGCTCTAACGTAGGCGAAAAAATGCGCTTTGATGAGTATAAGAAAATATGCAAAAGGTAAAACTCACTGGTGTTATTAGGTGGTGCTAAGCGAGAGGCACAAACGTTCTGCGTTTGTGCAGCACTCTTTGTCCCATGTCTGAGCGCACACAGATCCCCTGTCACCCTCCGAGATCCAGAGCGACTGAGCAGCCTGCAGGAATAAGGATTTTTCTCTACTTCCTTCACTGGGCATCGCCAGAGGCTCTGGGGAGAAGCACCCGCCCAAAGGAGAAATCTCAGTGCCTGGTCAGCAGAGAAGAACTTCAAACATCGCCAAAAGTTCGAGAATATCTGCGCATCCAGCCGATCGCGTTAGTCACACAGTAATTCCTAAACTGCCTTTTCCCACCTCTGAGCTTGATTAACTTCTTTCTGACGGGCTCCGAGAAAAGCAACGTTAGAATTTACTTCCTTTAACAAATATTTACTGCGGACCTACTATGTGTTCAGTGCAGTGGCACTCAGTTTCTTAATGTCTCCTAAACCGATCCTGAGAGGCATTGATTATTTAAAGGTGTAATTAGAAAAGCATCTAAGTGATTTTAAATTTAGTTCAAGAAATAGAATGCAGCATTGAATTAGGGGACTAATTCCTTCTTTCAATATGTTGGAAATTTAAGTCTTTATAAACATTTATGTAAGGATTTTTGAGGGAGACAGTAGAAAGTCTTTTTTTCTTTATACTTTATGCACAGTAAAAAAAGTCATCTTTTTTAAAAAAGAGCTTCGTTTAAAAACATGCTTAGAGTGAATATATGGTACCTAAATCTCTTAATGGTATGTATTTCCGTTCTCCCTCAAATCAATTGTAATGGTAATTGACATAGCAGAAAAATGTAAGGACATAGGTGATTTGGCGGCCTGCCAGCCTCACGGGGCATGGTGAAGGTTAACGAAGAACTACTCTGCACTTCGAGGATGAGCGGCGCTAGCCACGAATTTATCTACAGGTCATTTGTCCGCTGGGTGCATGGTAACTATTTATTTAGTCTTGCAGGAGAAAGTAGGACGCTGCCGCGCATCGGATTAGAGAGGCCTCATTCCGCGCCCACGTCTGGGTTAATGATTGAGTCGCAGAAATACTGGTGATGCTGATAACATAGAGACCAATACTAGCCTTTCTGATCTCTGCCTTGTCGTGCATTACCTTCTCTTGTGGACAACGCGATTCGTAAGAGTGTCTCTGCTTGTTTCCTAGTCCACGAGATAAATGGCGACTTCACCTCCGCAGGCCCCGTTACACCTCGGTTTTAGCGTCGGGACAGGGGACCCGGCTGCACCGAAGGCCGCGCGGGAGGGTTCTGGCGGAGCGCGGTGGGGAGGTGCCCCGCGGGACGAAGGAGGCGGAGAGCGCCGGGCCGGCGCGCCTCGGCCAATCAGCGTGCACACCGCCTGACAACTGGCCAATCAGCGGGCGCGGAGCTCGGGAGCCCGAGCGGATAATACTAGGAAAGGGAGCCGAGGCTGGCGACTGCGGAGAGGGGCGCTGCGCCACACGCAGCTGTGCACCCGCCGGCCCCGGGACGCTGAGCTCTGAGTCAGGCCGCGGCGATCTTTCCCGCCCAGGTTGGGTCAGACGAAGCCGAAAGCAGCCTCAGCTAGGTGAAGCGCCCGGGACCGCCGAGGACCGATCAGAACTTTGCAGAGTCCGGGATGTGCAGGGCGAGGCCGCTGAGGACTTGACTCCACTTCTCCATCCCCCTTCTCTGCACTCCCCATCCAGTGGGCTCCGGGCCTCCAGCTGTCAGCCCCAATTTCGTGGCAGGGGGTGGCGACGCCGATTTCTGTTTGCCAGCACAGCCAGCAGCCCAAGAGCCAGGTCCCAAGGCTGGATATCTTTTGCCTCGGCTGCTAGCGCGGGCCTGAGTCTTGGTAAGGGCTGCGATATTGCTCGCGATGTCAGGGAGGGCAAAGGGCGTGAATCACTTTTCCTTATCTTTTTATTTTACTTAGATGTCTTGCCTTAAAGTGCAAACCGTGCCGGCTGCACACAGAGCCCGCTCGGCTGAGCCCTGCGGGGCCCGAGCACGGTTGATGCTGGAAGGGCATCTGCAGCTCTGTGCCCAGTGTCTCTGTGGGGCTCTAATGACAGCAGAACAACTTTTGTTTTTAGCTGATGATTTGCCGGGGTGGTGGTGGTGGGGATGAGAGGACCTCTCCAAGCCCAGGGAGGGGTCCTTGTGCTGGGGTAGGCGGATGAGAGACGTTTGGGTGGCGTACGGTGGTACCTCTCTGGATTCAAAGGGCCCCTTGTGATCAAAAGGAAACTAATTCTTCCATCGACATTTTTATATTCCTCATGGCCGTACCAGTTGGGTATGGGGAAGCCTGACAAGTGGCCTAGGTCGGCCTAGTTGGACACAATACTTTCGTGTGTGTGATCAGCACATTACCCAGGGACTTGTCCCAAAAGCGTGTGTATAGATAGACAGGGCTGCGGTTAAAGGTCAGGTGCTCATATCGCACTTAGAATTAATAGATAAAAACCTTGTTGGGTTGGGAATACCTGGGGGCCCTAAAGATACAAGAAAGGCACATGTGGCCTGGATGTGAGGGACATTTAGAGAACAGGGCTCCTCAAGGGGCCGGGCAGACCAGGAGCTCGGCCCAAGACCTGGGGACCGTGCCTGACGGTCCGGTGGCTCTTTGGGTCTTTTCGTGTCTCCCCCGAGTGCAGGCGACTGAGCTAGGGCCCGAGCGAGGCGCCGCGCGCCATGGCTGACCGTCAGGCGGGCCCGGCGGTCGGGGACTGGGAGATCGACGTGGAGAGCCTGGAGCTGGAGGAGGACGGCCGCGGGGCGCCGCCGCCGACGCCGCCCGAGCCCAGCCCGCCGCCGGCCGACGGGGACGGCGAGGACGAC